CGTCCTCCTCCTCCTCCTCCTCCTCCTCCTCCTCCTCCTCCTCCTCCTCCTCCTCCTCCTCCTCCTCCTCCTCCTCCTCCTCCTCCTCCTCCTCCTCCTCCTCCTCCTCCTCCTCCTCCTCCTCCTCTCCCTCCTCTCAAATTGCTCCTGCCTCCTTTCACGTTGTCACAAAGGCCCAATTGGATCCGGCTTGCCTGGCAGTGGCTGCGGAGGCCGACAGTCGATCCTCTGGAGATCATCGCCGCGAACAAAGTAGGGAGTTGTACAACTCTCCTCCTCCTCTGACTTGGAGAGCAGGGGGTACTGGGATTCAACCTCATCTGGATGTGGGACAAGGTAGAGGAGATGAGTGAGATGCTGAAGTCGATGCTGGCTGCTGTTCCGTGGAAGGTAAGAGGATTTGATATCGATCTTGTTGCCTCACCAACCTGTCAGAGGCCCTTGGTAGGAAAGACTTACAAGATGGAGGATGCTGCAGATGCGTTGAGGTTTCTGCAGAGTGGCCAGAACGTTGGGAAAGTTGTTCTTGTTGTGAATTCCGGCAGCTCATGATAACAATCGGTAGCAAGTTATTATGATACACTCTTTAGAAACAATGATGCTTACAAAAATTAAGATTCAACCATTGAACAATCAGGGCCGATTTTCTTTCCTCATCTCTTTTTTGCTTTCGAGCTGAGAAGATCTTCATCCGCTGATCGCTTGGAGGCCTCGCTCCCTTTTGCCACAGGGGTTTCCTCCTCTTCGTCCTATTTTCATGAATCAGTCTCCCAGTATCGCTGAACATCAATTCTACCATAGACTCCGTCTGATCTCCGTCCTTTTCTTTCTCTGCTGTCTTGCCCTCTCTCTTATACACTTCCATGCGCTTCAATTTGTTGTACTGTGACAGGGTCAACAAGAAGAAATACAACATCACAAGCGAACCAGCATGGGGTTGCTTGCAGACAGCTCTGGCGAGACGCTGTGAGGCATTGCGACTGAGAAAGCCAGGCTCTGAGAGGAGATAGGGAGTGAAGAGACAGGGGTCATGATAGCCATGGGGACTGCCGTTGTCGATGAAGCTGCTGTAAGGTGCAGCTCAGAGGAAGAACAAGGGCAGGAGCGAAAGGAGAAGCAGGGCACCTGCATGATTTTTCCGCCGATTCAAAAGAAAGTTCACACACTCCATCTCCTTCTCATTGAGAACTAGCTCCACAGTGAGCACAAGCGCCAGGTACAAGAAAAGACTGACCAGCTTCGTTGTTCTTCCTTGCGGCAGCTTTCGTTGACTCGCTCGTTGTGTCGTCGTTCTGCAGGCAGAGGATTCACAGGGGGAAAGGAAGATGAGCAGATGTCTACCTCCTTGGTGTTCCACATGGACACAAGAGTCCAGCCTCCTCGCTCAAACATGTCCATCCATTCGATCTTCAAAACATTTTGTAGAATGCTGCGCCTCTCGATCGAGATGGGCAGCCGGATTGTGAAGTGCCTGTCGAGGAACGCCGGTAAATCACAAGGATACAACAATGATCTGCAGTACTTGATCTGATCAGGAGCCTCCGTGTCTTTGGCATCATCCACGATGACAGGATCTGGAAGTTCAGAACCCAGCGCATTCTGAAGGACACTAGTAGAGCATTGCTTGAAATCTTCAATCAGCTGCTTTTCTAACAGACCATATAGGCTGATAACTGCTTGCTCCTTCGTTAAGGGGAACTTCGCCTGGAAGATGAGATGCGGCATGCCGAATAGCACTTGAATTCTTGCGGCAAAGGGACTATGAAGAGCTGATAGTCAACGCCATGATGGTGTGGGGCAAACGATGGCCTGCACGGAGCCATACTCCAAACCCTCCCATGCCTAACCTGCCATCTTTCCGATCAGTTGTAAGGTCACAGCACATTCGCACATTCAAGTGACATTCACTGAGCATGTAACATTCAACACGTTCTCTTCATCAGGACAAGTGAAGGGAGCAACTAAATGTGAATGTGCGAACTATCTCTGCTGACATGAGACGCTTAGCTTCAATCTTGATCCAAGGTTTGACGCTTGCAACGACATGTACGATAGAGTATCTTCTGCTCTTCCTGTGAACCTTCCTTGAACCATCTCCATCTGTCTTCTTCATCGCTTCTGTCCTCAAACTCTCAACTTCTTCATGATCGCGTACTCTCTTCACTTCCCTCCATGTCCTATCCATCTCCTGTCCGCTCCGCATTCCTCTGTTGCAGGCGTTCGAAATTTAACTGACATTCTACCTATTTTAACAATATTGTGCTTAGAATTAGGTGACATATGGGTTAGATCACAGGCTCGGAGTGACCCGAGGGACCGAGGCAGCCCGGACTGGCCGTGGAGGATCATCGTTGGTGACTGACCAGGCCGGCAGCCTCGGAGCCCAGCTGAGTCAGGCTCTGCACTGGCGGCGGCACAGTGACGCTGGGGGATGGGACCCGCGGCAGTCCGTTTAATCACTCATGATTAATGCCCCCTCCTTCCTCTTCCACGGCCTCGTCCCCTGTAATGACGATAAAAGAACTATTAAGGATGAAAACATCAGCACTGCCAGCAATACCTTCCGTGGCTCCCTCCTCTGCCGCTTGGAGCTTCTTCAAGCTGATTGGATCTTGAGTTGTCAAACGAAAACAGACTGGATGAACGTCACACTCTGCGAGAAACACCGAAGCGCTTTGACACGATGTCGCTCACCTTTCCATGATCCCCTGTTGATTGTTCTGAGCAGCCACAAGCGGCTGCACCGCCCCGCTCTTGGAGGAGTTCAGAGTCATGGCTTGCAATCTTGCTTCAGCGGCACGAACTCGCTCCTCCTCGTCAAACTCAGCCTGTCGGGGTGGTTGAGAATCACGGAGCTCCTTCAGGTTCAGGTTCAGCCCACCTGCATGCGTCGAGCTATTGCCTCATCATCTTCCTCTGTCAAGAACGCTTCAGGGTGGAATGAGCAGGAGCAGTTTGAATCACAAGCTCACCCTGTGCGTATCCTCTACTAGCTTGCTCGAGTGCTGCATGATGCGCGCCTCTCCCTCTTGCGCCATTCCTAGCGCCCCTCATTCCTTGAACATGTCCCTCAGCTGATCTTGCAGCTGGAGGCTGATACAGCTGGAGGATTTTCCTCGGCTTTTCAGCAGCTGGCTTGCTCTCCATGACGTTCGGCTGATTCTGCGAGGCTGGGGTGGGAATATGGGTGCGAACGACCCTCTCACTTGGATCGCGAGTCACTGTGCCTTCCTCACGCGCTTGTCCCTGCGCATGCTCTCTTCCTCCCCTCCCTCCCCTGCCCCCCCTCCCCCCTCTCCCTCCCCTCTGACCAGCAGCCTCGTTGGATGGTGTCTGATCAACTTCTTGCCTTCCGGGCCTGCCACCCTTGGGCTGTCCTCCAGCAGTGCTGGGAGCGTTGATAGGCTCGGGTTGCTCCTTGCCTGCCCGACCTCCTTTCTGCTGGCCTGCAGAGTTGCTAGGCGGAATTCTTGCCTCGACTTGCCCCTTATGTTCTTGTCCACTCTTCTGTCTTGGAGTATTGCTCGGAGCATCATTTGCATTCTTGGTCTTCGCTGATTCTTTCCTTGGCGCGTTCGCCGAGGCATTGTTCCTGCTTTCTTGCTGTCTGTTCCGCCCGCTAGAGTTGAGTCAGGAGCTCTCACGGCCAACGATCGGAACTCACGCGTCTAAAGACTCAAACTTGGGCGGGGGCTCGAAATCCTCACTTTGGGCTTTCTTGGCGGCATCTTGAATCATCATCTTCCTGGCAGAATTCCCATACTTCTGTATTCGAGCAGGATGAGTCAGAGAACTCTTGACTTGGACATACACACCTTCGAGGTCTCCCATTCCTCTTTCAACGATTGAACCACTCCACCCAACACCGTACAGCAGCCACTCCCCAACAAGAGTACCTGAGTCAGCCACATTAGCAATAGCGAGGAATTCTGCCAGTTTCTCATACCCCACTCTTTACATTGACGTTGTGGATCTTCAATTTTGTTCCAGGAGGAGTTTCGAGTCCCAATCCCTGGTAACGAGAAGTGGGGAGATACATCAGTTGGCCAACACAGCAAAAAAACAACACCTTGATCGGCTCCATCTGCAATGCAACGCATTCGCGTTTTCCATCTGTGAAGGAGTACAGCAGAAGCCTGTTGAGCTTCAGCGGTTGTCACCTCCGCATCTCTCAAGTACGTGTTCCGACTTGCCGCGTGTTGACTGTGACTCGGCTCACTGACATTCACGCATTTGGTCAACTGGACTACGATCGGCCCCTGTCTCAAACGCAAAACAATTATCTCTCAATGCAACGCTGGAATCTCAAGGAAGAATCATGATATTGCGCACCTTGACGCTTTCTCCGTCCATCCTGTTCACAGCCTGCGATGTATCTCAACGACACAGTCGCTAAAACGACAAAAATGTTGACATGCTTTACCTCTGGAAGGGATCCACTTCCAAACCTCTTCAAGTCAGAATCATAGAGCATCTTCAAGATTCCTTGTGGGGTTTGGTTCTCAAGATTCATCTCAACGGCCTCTGCGTATTTCAGAAGCCTGGAATAAGGTCATACAATTTGACAATAATGGGTATTTTCCGCCAGGAAAGTCAGTCCAGGAAAGCGGAATCACAGTTTATCTCACACAACACTTTCCCTATCGGACATTCGAATACATCGTCCACAGCACAAGAAAACCATGATAATCTCTACCTCTCTTCGTCCACTGCCATCCCTGCCGCCGCAGCCGCCGCAGCCGCCGCAGCCGCCGCCACCGCCATAACAGAATAACACAGTCAATCGGTTCAATTCGACGGTTTGGTTCGGTTCCGATCACCCCGGCGGCCGGGCTGGCGCGGCGGGCCGGGGGCCCTGGCGCGGCGGCGCCTGAGAGGACCGCGTCACGTGATGTGACTCCGTCAGCCCGGACTCACCTCCGAGTCAGTCGGACTGACCGGACTTTGAGTAAAGAAGTGACCGGACTAACTTTACTCAAAGTGAAGGCAGTTAAAAATCAGTACGAGGACAATTAGGAGAGTCGAGGAGGCTTGGCACCCTGACACTGTCGCACATGCCAAACGGCGAGAAGAAAAAGACAGCGAGAACCAACCCCAATCCTGCCGACTGCTGTCCCCCAAACTTAACTGATACCTTCACTTAACGGCGCCCACTGGACAAGTCCCCCGCCGCACGGCCATGCCAGCGATGTCGCGTTGGCCGCCGCACCGGACTCAGTCGGACTGAGAGTTGGGCCGAGAGAGTCTCGTAGCCCGCGCAGTCCCAGTAGTAGTACCTCCCTAGGGTTGAATATAGGCTTGCCGTGATGGGGGTGAGGAGGGGGTTGACTATAGGCTTGCCATGGGGGTGAGGAGGGGGTTGACTATAGGCTTGCCATGGGGGTGAGGAGGGGGTTGATTATGGCCTGAGGAGGGGTTGACTCAGTCATAGGCTTGCCATGGGGGGTGGTAAAGGAGATCCCGAGCTGGTTCAACGAAACGCGATGGATGACTATGACATGAGCCGATGGTAGAGGTGGGGGTGGGGGGTATAAGAATCTTGCAGCGTGGTAGTACCGGTAGGAGGAAACGTCTAGAGGAACGGCACACTGACAAGGGGGGTGGGGCCCTTCACATGGACACTTTTCAAAATACGGGAGTTGACGTGTATGTGTCAACGAGGGTGGGGTCCTGTCGAGCTAAAACCGGACAATGGGCATCTCACGCGCTTGCATCAAGCTGGTCATGCTTGAACGACCCGGCCCCTCCCACCTCTCCATCAGGATCCTCCTGTCCAAGCTCCTTCCCCTCGCCTTCTTCCTCTGCCTCCCTTCAGCTGTCTCATCGACTCTCACACAACATCCTGAGCAAATGACGCTGAGAGCACTGGAGTGGGAGATCCGAAGCATCAAGCAGAACCTCTCCGCTACCCTCGACGAGCTCCGGTCCCTCAACACTTCCGTCTCCTCCCTGCCACAGCTGCCCTGGGGCAACCTGACTTCCAGCGTAGTTCGCTGTTCCCTCCCTTACAACTGGTCTCAGATCATCAACAAAGAAGAGGAAGGGAGAGTCCAGATCGGCGGCCTAGGACATCTCATGCAAATAGACAAGTGCGTGCTGCTCCTGCTCTGTCTTTAGCTAGTAGACTGATGCACTTGCGGCTAGATACGAGGTCTGGGTCTGCGACTACGACAACCGCTGTGTCCAGCAGGAGGGAGATGCCTTGTGTTTTGTTTTCGACGAGGTGAAGGAGATTTTCCTCCCGTGGGGTCTGGACTCCGAGCTCCTCTTGACTCAGGTCCGAACTGCTCATCTTGATACCCTCTGCTCCTCTACTAACCTTCCCTGCGTCTATAGCAAGGGCCTTTCCAGCCGGACCTCGCTATCTCCAACATCCTGGCAAAGCTAAAGGTCCTCGAGCAGGAGATTCGCTCGGGTGGATGCGGGGGGTCCTGCATGACCAGCCAGCAAGTGCAGCAGCTGCTGGACCAGTACTACCTTGAGCCCGGCTACCTATGGAGCGCCGGCAGCTTCAGCCAGTGTAGCAGCCTGTGCGGTAGCGGGGTAGCGAAGAGAAGCATAACTTGCATCTCCAAGCTGCTGGAGCAGGTCGAGGACTTCAGGTGCTCCAACCGCTCGAAGCCCTTCGCGGAGGTTCCCTGCGCCAACTACTCCCAGTGCTCCTTTGAGTGGGAGGTCGGCGCCTATAGTGAGTGTCTCACGGGCTGCGGTCAAGGTTCACGACGTCGCTCGGTCTCATGCCGGAGGAGCGACGGCGTAGTGGTAGAGATTGTGAAGTGTTTGGGATCGGCTCCAGTGCAAGAGGAGGTAAAACACGAGCTGATGAAAGAGGGGGAGGGGCATGCGGCTGACGTTGTGAGCAGCCTTGCTCCAACTTCTCCTTCTGCTCCTACCGCTGGGCCAGCTCTTCTTGGGAAGCATGCTCCAGCACCTGCGGTTCCGGCTTGCAATACCGGTCGGTGATGTGCGTGCGGTCGGACGGGGTGGAGGTGGAGGACGGGATGTGCGAGACAGGTTCGAAGCCGAGGATCTTCCAAGCGTGTACGGGAGCGTCGGGCTGCAACTATACCTTGATGAACGAGTGCGCTATGAACACAGACAATTGTGCGACGCACGCAAGCTGCTTCGACACGTACGCGAGCTTCGAATGCAGCTGCCAGCCAGGTACGCCACAGCTTGCAAGCGAGCATGCATCAGAGTCATTGACGGGAGAAACAGGCTACGTGGGGTCCGGGACCGTGTGCGAGGACGAGAACGAGTGCGTGAAGCGGACAGGGTTGTGCGATGCGACGACGATGTGCGTCAACACAGAAGGAAGCTTCCAGTGCTTGTGCAAAGAAGGTGAAAGGAAGAGGGTAAGGAGACTGCAAACCATCTGACGTCATCTTGTGGGGCGGCAGGATTCTACCTCGACGTGACATCGCCCTCGAGCTCTTGCGTCGCATGCTCTGCTGGGCTCTACACCTCCGGCCTCGGTCAAACGTCATGCAGCTTGTGCGCGCCTAGCTACTACGGGTCAGCAGACAGCGGTTGCAACCCTTGCCCCGCTGGCTCTTCGTCAGCCTTCGGCAGCCAGCTGGTGACGGACTGCAAGTGTCAGTTTGGTGAGGGGCAGGAAGCTCGTGCGCAAGCTGACAAGGCTCGTTCGCAGGCTTTTCCGGGAGCATCTCGAACGCTGGCGACAGCTGCAAGCCCATCTTCTCAAACGTCGAGGAGCAGACGCGCTGGCTCAGGCTCGGAGCATCGGGCATGTCCTGCACTGCAACGTGCGCAGCAGAAGGCAAGACGTGCGTGAGCTCAGCCATCAACCAGATTGACGACGAGGAGGCGATTCGCTCGGCTGTGAAGGCGGCGAGCATCGCGTCAGACCGGAGGATCCGTGCAGCGATGACGGAGCCGCAGAAAAGGCCGGAAGGTCTTCACTTTCGGATGAGCGCAGGAGCTCGCAAGCCAGAAGACGATGGACTGCAGGACCTGACAGCGAACAGCGGGCACGTCAGGCGCCAACGTTACGTTGAGTATGGGGCAACGAGCTTCCCTCTGGTACCCAAAGCGGAAAGTATCTGCTGCTCAATCACGCAAGAGTTCTATGTGGACTTGCCGGTAGAGCTTTCGAGCTCCAGGATGATCGATATTAGCGTGACAGTCGAAGGTTCCAGCAGCGGAGATAACACAGAAGCATTCTCATTGGTAGACTTGTCAGGATGGAGAGGTGCGTGTATGAGTGATGTGCCTCAAATCGAGGACCCTATGATGTGGAGTAGGATCCCCTTGCAATCTCTGAACTGCAGGATCAGAGCTCCTCTCCAAGAAGCTCTGGCTGACGGCGGTGGTCAAATCGGTCCTATCGCCATCAGCTATTCCTCAATATCTTACAACGGTCGTTCGACGTGGCGGATCTCGGTTGGGCAGCTGGAGGACGAGACCGAGGAGCCTCTGAGGCCCATGTCGGACGGCAAGCTCAAGTACGTCAATGGTTCATTCCAGGATGTCGTCACCTTCCCTCCCATGAGCATCCCAGGCCCCTTCTTCACTCTCTGCTCTATCTCTCGCTACAACGACAATTTCAGAAATAGAATTCTGCAGGCAGCAGAAGCGAACTTCTATCACGGCCATCGGAACGGAGGACGCGAACAAGCTTCCTATAACGGTACGTGGAATCTTGCGCAGGACTTGAGCCCGACAGCAGAAGCGTGGGTGGTTCTGTGCGGACAAAATTACCAGGAAGGAAAGTTCTTCCTCAATGGTGTCGAGTATCAACAATCAGCTGCAAGCCTTTCCAGTAGTCTGCAGCTCACCATCAATTACAACACATGGGATTTTTACCACCGTTTCTTCCTCGAGAGCTCAGACTGGGCGTTGAGTGAAGTGGCGATCTGGCAGGGAGCGTTGCGAGAGGATGAGCTAAGAGCCGTATCAAGTCACCTCATGCACATGCTGTCTGATGGTAGCGATGTTCTCTACAACCAGACTCTCAACGTCTCCTGCGACAAGGTCTTTCCCGCTCTCAACGGTTTTGCTCCCTTCGTGTCAGCATCGGAATGTTTCTTTCCAGCAAAAGGCTATCATTCTACATGCGACGCGAGCTTCAATGGAGCGAGTCGCGTGTGCGTGTGCTCTGCGCCATGCCTGGAGAACTTCTACGGTACCGCCTAACATGCCTTGTGCGGGCGTTTGACGCTCGAGATGCTCGCACTGCAGGTCATGCCGACGCGTGTATTCGCTGTCCCTTCTACTCGCTGTCGCCACCCGGCAGCTCTTCCATCCACGATTGTTCCTGCGATCAAGGTAGGCTCGCTTCCCTCGAGTCTCGCGAGGGATGGTAAGAGGCGTCTTACGCTGCTTGCTGCTGCCCTTAGGACGCTACCTGTATGTCAACTCGACGGTCCCTGCCTGGGGCCCTCAGGGCTCCTGCCATTCATGCCCCGTCCATGCATGGTCGCCTTCCGGCAGCTCTGCCATCAACGAGTGCCGGTGCTGGGGCGGTAGGTGTTGTGCTTGCTTGTGCAGAGACTGACGGGCAGCTGGCGCGTAGGTTTCTACCTTGATCAGGGCCCCTCCTGCTCGTCCTGCCCGTCAGGCCTCATGTCGCCCTTCGCGAGCTCGTCTGTTGAGGATTGCATGTGCAAGCCAGGTGAGGGACGCTTGCAAGCCCGCGTCGAGTCATCACCAGTGAGGGATGCAGGCAGCTACGGATCAGCTGGAAACTGCTCGTCCTGTCCGGCTTTGAGCACATCGACACCGGGAAGCACGTCGATCGAAGACTGCTTCTGTCTCGCAGGCTTCGGGGTGAAAGCGACTGGATACAGCAGGCAGGTCACGTCGCCGACAGACAAGTGCGAAGCGATCGTCGACGAAATGTTTCTTGCAGAGAGTGTGGGAATGTCTTGCTCAGAGGTCTGCGCGTCCAAGAGCCTCGTGTGCATGGATGAGGCTCAGCCCTTGCTCAGCAATGCAGATCTGCGTAGCCTGTCTACTTTCTTCAGTGTGCCGTTCACAGGCGAGATCGTTGGCACCAGCAACCTGGACGCTCCCTCCTACAATCATGAGACAGGACAAGCTTTCCTCCGTTACGGCTCACGCGGCTCTTGTAGCGCAACTAGCTCTACCAACGTCAGAATATGTCGATGCACATGTGCAGACAACCAGTATGGTAAGCACCTACATCCTCCCCCTACCCTTGGAGCTTGTTCCTCCTCCCACTATTCGCCACATCTCACGTTCCCATGCAGGCAACACAGGCAGTTGCTTGTCCTGCCCGGCCAACAGTTCCTCCTCCTGGCAGGCTCAGGGTCGATCAAGCTGTATCTGTGACTCTGGTGACGTGGCTGGCGCATGTCGCCGGGAGCGCTGACTGAAGTCTCCTTGTTCTGCAGGGTACTTCTTCAACGCCTCGCAAGAGTGCAGCCCTTGCTCGAGCGGCACGTACGCTAAGAGGATGAAGATGGCCGACCAAGACTTCGGGAGGAATGGAACCATGGGATGGAAGGGCACCGAGCAGATCACAAGCTGCGGGAGGTACGGATCAGTGCTGGGAGGGCTCAACGAGCTGGCCGAGTACTCGAGGGTGGGCAAGACTTTCACAGGCTTGTGCCCGCATGGCTTCTTGTACATCAGGATGCAAGTGCTACTAATCGACTTTGCTCAGCCAGTGATGGTGCGTCTGTTTGTGAACCGACAGGAGGTATGGAACCAGACGATATCGGCAATTTCTCCATCGTCAACGTCAGAGTGCGGCCAGAGCCAAGGAGACGCGATGATCAATCCTTCGATGCGCTTGTATCACACGGAAGGCTACGTGGAGGCGGAGGTCCAAGTGGACTATGTCTACTGGGAGTCAAGCGTCAAGACGTTCTGGGGGCTGAAGGACTTCTCTGTCGTGGTGCCATGCGCGAGCTCTTCAGCATCGGACTGCAGCATGACGTCACCGTTGACTCAGACGTGCTCGGAGGTCACTGAGAGCGGAGTGCCTTGCATGCAGTCAGGCGTCTACCTCTACGTCTACTATCCCGATACTTGGATGAACTTTTCAGACGCGGAGGCAAAGTGTAATCAGATAGGCGGAGGAGGAGGGCAAGTCGCCTACTTCCCAGATGGACAAACACACGACGAGGTGATCGCAGGTCTTGGGATATCATCTGATAACTGGATCGGACTTCAACACTCAGCAGGACCCCAGTACGACTTCAAGTGGGTGACGAATGGACCGCCTTCTTTCACGAGATGGGCGGATGGGGGACCCAATGACGGCAATTGGAACGATCTCTGTGTGCTCCTACGCGATTCCTTGTGGTACGACGTCCCATGTTCCAGTACCTATCGGGTGCTTTGCAGCTACTTGGCAGTTTGAACAGGTTTTATTGACTCACTGAGTCAACTGACCGGTTGTGAGGCCGGGGCGGTTTCCAGCCCCGGGCCCGGACAAGCACGGAATACCTTTACAAAATGATAAACTCTCTGAAATACCAGAAGAAGTCTCTCATGGGGGGCAATCAAGAGACCGTTGACCGACTCAACAAACAGATCGCATCCATAGATAGATCTAACATTCATGGGTGACAAGGCCTCCCGTGATATTACCTCCCGGCTGCAATAGATGCCGATTGCCCTGTTCTTTGCTATGTAACCATGTACGCGAATCTTGTCGACAACGGATGACAGGGAGTTTTTGTACATGGATACTGCATTTCCGTAGATATCCAAGATGCCGACACAGGATCCGAATGGGCTGAGTTGCTTGCAAGCATTGAGAAGCCATACATGCGGGCCCTGTGGGGAGGACAGCATCTGTGTGATGTCAGAGGCCCTCACGTCCTTGAAATTACTATCACATCCGTGTTGTCGGATGCGAAGGTCGAGAGCAGCAGCAGCAGCGGCAATGGCTCGTCGTAGTGTATTATGTTGAGTTTCTTCGCTATCTCTGCAAAGGCAGTGTCGGGCTCTATCTCCCGGTTGGTACCAAGCCTCATGTTTGGGATGACCCGGAACCCTGTATCCTCGTCACCCCCGCAACAATAAGGCATTGCATAGGACTTCTTGGGCTTGACCATGTTCCCCATCACTGAGTTCAGTCAGAGGTTCCGCATGGGGCCGTGAACGTACGCGCCGTCTTTGTCCACCGTCTCTCCGACCACGGTGATCACGTTCCCAAACGCCCTCTGTTCAGGTGGCAGTGCACCCGCTGAACGCCGGGCATCGTTCTTTTACACCTCCAACGTCATCATACTGTGTTCATCTATTCACGACCTTCTGACGAGGAACCACGGGCCGCCCCGGCTCCACATTTATCTGATTCAGGGCAACTTCCGTTCATTTTTCGGGCCTGCTGTCTTCCCGGGCGGGCCCGCGCCCGGCGTGACTCGCCGGCGCCAATCATGTTCTTCCCGGTGACTGAGTCCGACTGAGTCAGCGGGCGGCACTGCGGCATAGACCACCCCACCCATCTCGAACAATGACACCGTCGGCCCGGCACCCCATCCAGGAACTGATCACCCGTGGTTTTCTCTATCAAAGGTATCAAATCGCCAGGTAGGGTCCTTGGCTCAGCCCTGGTTTCCCAATCACCCTCCCCCCCCCCGCCTCGCAGGATCATTTTTGCTGCTTGTACCCTACCAGGATGATATTGACCGTTGAAAAAGCCTTGGAGTACCCCTATCAACATAGACAACTGTCAGGTCAATACAGGGGTAGTGTTGTGGTATCACCGGTCATGGACTGCGCCCCTTTGGTTGTACGACAACCACCAATGTAGAACCCCCACCCCACACGCGATCATATCACCCTTGAATTGCCCAATTCTTCACTCTCAAATCTCCTCAAAATTATCCCAGGGGTAGTGACCCCTACCCATCATAATTTCACCCCCACCCCCTTTCTCTAGATTGTTTTAGGAATCATGGCGATTCCCCCGCTGTGTCCTTGTCCTCCCCCTTACGCCCTCCCTCTCCGCCATTCCTCTCCCGCCTTCAATAATGTCATGGCAAGAAAGTCCCTTCCCTGCTACCTCGTCTTAGTTCCCCTGCCGTCTTCGTCTCGTCTCATCTCATCCCCCCTCCTCACCCTCATCAATTTTCCCGGCTGCCTTCCGTACACTATAGTTGTGAATTCTCCGTATCTCAATCCATCGCGACCTCTGGGCTTCCATCATGTTCAATATTTCCTTCATACTAACTTGATGCCTCCCTCCTTTTTCATGTCAATCTCTTACGAACATGCACTTCTGGCATCCTTTGTCCCGGCTCATAGAAATTATCCATCGTTGACACATTATCCTCTCACGATAACTGTCTGTAGACCTTCTCGTTTCACTTGGTGTGATGCTTTCCTTAAGAGCCTCACGCCTTTCGCTCTGATTTCGCATGCACATGACCGACATCTTGCACTGATCTGTTCTTTTTCCTGAAATCAATTTTCACGTTCCATGCGTAGGAACAAAGGCTGCCATGTTTGATAAGAAGACCTTGATAGACCTCCTGAGTCAGACGGAATTCGGGAAGAACGAGCTAGAGGTATGCCAGGAGCAGCAGGGAGGGATGATGGTTTGATCGCTGTTTTCAGTCCCTGTATGCGCAATTCAAGCGAAATGGAGGAGGGGACGGGAGAATGAATCTTGTGAGAATTCGTTCGGTTTCAATTGCTCGTGGATGATTTTTGTGGTTTATTAGGCCGACTTTTCAGAATTTATGAAACTGAATGGGCTCCAGGACGCTGTGTTCATTGAGAAATGTTTTTCCGTATCGGATACTGACAAAGATGGCTTGATCAACTTCAAAGAAGTAGCCACCTGTCTGTCAGTGCTGCTTCGAGGCAACGAGAGCGCGATGGATGAGTTTGAATTCAGGCTTTGGGATTCCGACGGAGACGGTGTCCTGAAGAAAAACGAGTTCATCGAATTTTACATGCACGTCTCTCGACTGGATCCTGAATTGAAATCTTTTGACGATGAGAAGATTTTGAGTCAGGCCGAAAAAGTTTTCTATGCTGTTGATGTCAAGAAAACTGGAGCTATTGACCTGGACGAATTCAAACAGGCCATCGAGCATCGTTCACTGTTGCTCAGTGAGAAGATGTATGAAATCCTTCACGACCCCTTACAAACCAAACTCACCGAGCAGGAGCTGCAAGCCTTTCATCCCGAAGAAAGAGCGCTGATGATGTTCCTGGGGGAGAAAGTTGCTTTCAATGAGGGCGAAACTATTCCGGATAAAGCCAAGACTATCGATGGAGAGGAGTACGAGTGCTTCTACATCGTTCTTGAAGGCTCAGTTGAGGCATTTCACGAAGGGCTGGGTTTGAATGCTTCAGTTACCCCAGGAGAAGACGCATTCTTCCACGAAGAATCAGTCTTCATCAAAGGAATCGCTACCTCCCTCTCCGCACGTGCCCTCTCCAACTGCACTCTGCTAAGGATTGCGGCAACGGATTTCATGCAGTCTTACCTGCAAGAGGCTGGTGGAGCTGCCACGATCTGGAATCGGCTGAAAGCAAGGATGACCGATCAAGTCACAAGAGAGCAGGCGCTGTCTCCGAAGGATACGCACTATGCCGACCTTGCGCTGTGGAAGATGCAGTACTTGCAGTCGTCTGGGAAGGTGCTCACAAAGAAGAACATCAACCAGAACTTGGTGGAGATGCAGTATGCAGTCCGTGGCCTCGTGCCCATCACAGCTGAGCGCATTCAGAAAGAGATTCTTAACGGAGACACCTCGAAGCCGTTCAAGGAGGTACCTCGTGTTGACTTTGAGTATCTTCCATCATGTCCACGATTGTTTGACTCCTTTCTTTACCAGGTTCTGTATTGTAACATTGGCAACCCTCATTCTGTGGGACAAAAGCCGATCACCTTCTACAGAGAGGTATAGTCCTCTGCAGATGTGTCAGGGTATGATATGGCCTCAGGTCCTTGCGCTGGTGGACTGCCCGATGCTGCTTGAGAGGGAGGGAGTGGAGAAGTTGTTCAAGCCGGATGTGATCAAGAGGGCGAAGGAACTGATCGGTCTGATCAAGGGAGGAACTGGAGCCTACTCTCACAGCCAGGGCATCGAAGGGATCAGGAAGCATGTAGCAGAGTTCATCAAGGGAAGGGACGGGCATCCTGCGCAGGTAGGAGATATCTTCCTCACCAACGGGGCATCAAGTGGCATTCAAATGATCCTCACCACGATCATAGCGGAACCCACAGACGCGATTCTAGTGCCACTGCCCCAGTATCCCATCTACAGCGCGCTGATCAAGCTGCTCAACGGGACGCAGGTAGGTTACAGCCTTGACGAGTCCAAGGGCTGGGCTCTCAACATCGACGAGCTCATGGAGAAGATCCGCGAGGCGAGAGTGCAAGGAGCCAAACCCAAGGCCCTCGTGCTCATCAACCCCGGCAACCCCGTCGGCAACTGCCTGAGCTACGACAATCTTGTCGACCTGGTCAAGCTCTGCAAGGCTGAAGGCCTTGTGCTGCTTGCGGACGAGGTGTACCAGGAGAACATCTATGCTGATCGCCCCTTCGTGTCGCTCAAGAAGGTCGTCCGGGACCTCGGGCCCGAGTTCTCCGGCTTTGAGTTCGTCTCCTTCCACTCGACATCCAAGGGAATAATCGGGGAGTGCGGGAGGCGCGGGGGCTACATGGAGTTGTGCGGTTTTGACCCGGAGGTTCAGGCTCAGATCTACAAGCTCGCCTCCTCCGGACTCTGCTCCAACATCGACGGGCAAGTGATGGTCGACCTCATGATCCGTCCTCCCTTGCCTGGCGACGAGTCGTACGAGGACTTCACGAGGGAGAGGAGCGCAATCTTCGACAGCTTGAAGAGGAAGAGCATCTTCCTCCATGAAAGTCTCAACGAGATCGCTGGTGTCTCCTGCCAGCCACTCAAGGGCGCCATGTACGCCTTCCCCAAGCTCGACCTGCCGCCCAAGGCCATCGCAGCGGCTGAGGGCGCGAAGCATGCTCCCGATACCTTCTACGCTCTCTCGCTCCTCGAGAACACCGGCATCTGCGCTGTCCCCGGCAGCGGCTTCGATGGGCCCAACCACATCCGACTGACCTTCCTGCCAGCAGAGGACAAGCTGAAGACAGCCATGTCGCACTTCCGCAGACACCACGAGATGTTTGTGAAGAAGTACAGCTGATGCGTTCTTTAACACTTTTACCGCACACGGATAGTCAACACCCGCACGCTTCTCTCCTCTCCTCTCCTCTCCTCTCCTCTCCTCTCCTCTCCTCTATTTCGATCATACCGGAGCCCAGAGCTGGACCGTCGCTTCCCGCCGCTCCCTCACCTCCACCGCAAGTGAAGGTTTCCAACCTACAAGTCTTCTCACGCTTGAGATCGCTTGACAACTCGCACGTCCATCTTCTTCACTCCCTGCGGCTTCTTCTCCTGCACTGCCGTCTCGCTCGCCGGCAAGTCTCCTGCCCACTCCGCCACCGCCGAGTGGGCGGCGAGCCCCCCGCCATGACCGTTGTCGAGCTCCTTGACGATGTCGCTGGGCTGGGGGAAGTAAGTGCGGATGATGTACTTGACAGAGAGCTCCGGGATCATGGCGATGACAATGGAGAGCAGCTGTGTGAACCATCCGACGATGGACCAGAGGAGGACAGGATGGATGTCGAAGTACTCGTACGGGATCTGCGTGAAGAAGCTGCTCATGGCCCAGAGGGAGTGGATCAGGCCTCCAAGGACGAAGAGCAGCCAGCCAAGCACGTATGAGAACAAGCTGTAGTTGGTCAGGTAGTTAGTCTCGATGAGCAGCTTCAGGTTGACAACGGCTATGATGGACTGTTGAACGATGGTGCCGAAGACCACGTGCCCGTCCTCTGCCCACGTCGGCTTGACCGTCATGTTCATGAAGATGGCGGAGGCGATGAAGAAGCAGATGACGGTATGGTAGATCCCCGTCAGGAACCACCGGAGGAGAACGCGCATGTTGAAGTCTCGCTGCTGCTGCCCCGACATGTAGAGCTGAGGGTAAGCGATGGCTGCTGTCGGACTCACGTCGTTCTCGATGGTGCCGAAGATGATCACGCCGAAGAAAGCCCAGCCGACGTTGAACCCGGCGAGCATGAGGGCGTCGAAGAGAGCTGTGCCAGTCCACCCGCTGTAGGTTCCGAAGGCGAAGAGGGTGGAGACGAGGGTGCAGTTCTTGTAAAGGGAGTACATAACCACCACTGACACTCGCTTGTAGTTCGATCGGCCGTGCACGAGGAGCAGCCGCTTGAGGAACCGAAACTGCGCGATGGCATAGTCGGAGGAGCGGACAGCCTGCATGCCCTCGTTGCCGCTGATGCCGATGCCGACACTGGCCTCCAGGATCATCGGGACGTCATTGGCTCCATCCCCGATCGCGAGGGTCATCGGATAAGGCTTGACGTTGTGCTTCACCTGGGAGGAGTAGAAAATTCAGCACGTACAGGCGGATGGGGACTGAAGACTTACCATGGCGACGATCTGACGCTTCTGATCGGGTGAAACTCTGCATGCTACGACTGCCTTGCACTTCTTAGCGAGGTCGAGGAAGGAGAGCATGAGATCGAGGCTGTCAGAACTCGCGTCTTTCTCCTCCTGCGCTCGCATGATTTCTAACAGCGCCTTGCCGTCCACTATCAGACAGTGCTCCTTGTCAGGAGTCTTCTTCATATCCTCCATCTCCTGGATGACACTTCGCTTGATCGTGTCCGTGTCGCCCTCCAGCAGATAGATTCGCTTCATTTCCTCCTTGATCAAGTTGCATGCGAACCCGATGTTCTCCGCCGTCTCCTGCTTGTCTCCAGTCAACACCCAGATCTTGATCCCCGCCATGGCCAGCGTCGAGATCGCATCTGGTACTCCGATCTGTAGCTTGTCCTCGATCGCCGTCGCTCCGACAAGCGTGATGTCTCTCTCGATCATCTCTGCTGCATCCATCAATTTATCCTCGCGGTCCACAAGGGAGGAGGCAGCATGACGAAAGACCTTGTCCCACTCCCTCCACTCCTGCTCTGAGATTTCTCTCTGCCCGATCACCAGGGTTCTCAGCCCTTCCTGCGCGTAGGATTTCAGCATGTCGGCAGTCTCGTGGATGTATGATTGTCCAGGTGCCAGCCTGTCCAGCATGACGTTGTCAGCTCCTTTGATGTACAGCATGAGCCGGTTCTCAGGAGTTTTAACCACACAAGACATCCTCTTCCTGGTCGAGTTGAACTTGTTGACGTTGAGAATCTCGTAGGTCTCCCGCTGCCCGAACACATCCACCGTGTGGGTCTTGGCAGTCTTCTCGCAGTAGAAGAATCCCAGGCACTTGGCTGCGGATACCAGCGCTCCCTCGTCGGGAGACTCTGCCTGGTACTTGATCTTGTTGGGTTGCGGTTCACCCTCAGGGACGACCGTGTGAGATACTGAGAGGTTGCGAAAGAAATCACGAATGGCGCGGCTGTCAGGATGGTTCGATTCTATTCGCTTCCTTATCCTCACGTCGTCAAAGGTCTGCGGTGAAGTCAGTCAGTGTTTGTGAAGGTAGACAGCGGAGGGCAACTCACAAAGCTGGGATCGTAGTTGTACTGAGCTATCGTAGCATCAGCATCCGCCTCTGCTGGATCCTTCTTCATCTCCCCCTTCTGTCTCATTGCCATCGAAGCTCCAATCTCAGTCGTTCCGAACCCGTAGGATGTGTTGACGATGAAACATTTCCTGAACTCCATCTCATTCCTTGTGAGTGTCCCAGTCTTGTCACTGAAAATGTACTCGATCTGTCCGAGCTCTTCATTCAGGTTGGAAGTGCGAGCGAGTGCTGGAGTGTCTGACTTGGCATGATACATCTCCACGTCATTATCAATCAGCACTTTCTGCCCGAGTTTGGCCAACTCCATGGAAACGTAAAGAGAGATCGGCAGATAATTGTTTAGCAAGATGAAGTATGTGATCCAGGAAGATAAGACTTCTGCAGTCGATTGCGATTCAAGATAGGGCATATACCAAGTAGTCTTATTGCCTTTCGCCCAGATTGCATTTCCAATACATCCAAGACTGCACATTATAAGTTCAAAGAGCAAAACGGCCGCAAGAATCCTGTTGGTCAATCTCTCTACATTGCTCATTTTCAGCTGAGCAGCCCTTGCATTCATGAGCAACTTTGTTTGTTTGCCAGCATAGACGACGACGCCGTAAATCCACTTGGTGTTCCTTAGTACAGCTCCTCGAAGAAGCACTACATCGTTGTCTACAGGGATAGTTTGTTGATCAATGGTCACCTGAAATTATCAAGGCGTGAGCTTTTGAATGAGATGCAATGGAAAACTTCACCTTTCCCACAAAAGTGTACAGCCGCTTGTTGGGCGGTTCGTATTCAAAGAGACCGCGAGTTTTAGAAATTTGAGAATGGTTCCTTGCATCCTGTGTCAAACTGAGAGAGGACTTGATCTTCAGGTTTGTCTCGCCATCCAGGTTGCAAGTATCGATGTATGAACCCCCGGACTCATCACTTGACGCAAGCTGAACCAAGTCTGCCGGGAACTCCGTGCCTTTCTTTACCCACACGATGTCTCCGACTTTGAGGTTCTTCCAGAGTTCCTCAACAACTCTTCCGCCCCGAATGACTTCAATGACCCGGTTGTTGACTTCATAATCGTCCTTATGACGTTTGCTATCTTCCCAGATCTCACGCACCATGTTGGCGGCAAGTACAAGAGCAAGAGGGGCCGCAGTCGAGTACCGCCCTGTGGGTGACAGAGGAGTCAGCAGCTGCAAAGCTGCGATCACCAAGAAGTAAATGTTTGCAAATCTTGAGAACTGTTGGTAAAGATTGATGAAGAGGAAGCTGTAGAATGTGTACTTTGCTGTGGTCACAGAGTTTCCACTGATCGGTCGTTTCTTCTTCTTAGCATTTGCTATCTCCTGCTCGTTCAGCTCTGAAGCGTTCAAATGAACGCGCATGTCGGACTCGCTGCTTTCATTGATGACATCCTTCCTTATCTCCGTCAGCTTCATCCAGTCTGGCATCTTCACCGCACCCAGGGACTCAGCACCAGCGTTGTTGACTTTGCCGTGGAGCAGAGAAGACTTTCGCTGTGGTGGTGGCATGTTGTCAAAGTAGTCGACCTTCTCATCATTATCATGGTGATCGTCATCGACATGAATCGTGTCGTCATCGGGTGGCTGGAAGCCGCCGCCTCTCGGCCTGAACTTGCCGAAAGCGCTGGTGGTCGTCTGAGGAGGAAAGAAACTGTCGTCGGATGCCTCTGAGTGCGTTGCTGTGGATTTTCTTGAAGAGCTTGAGCGACGAGGCTGATAATGATGCTGATCCTCGTCGTTGTCATCCCTCTCCAGCGACACACCGCAGCCCAACGACGGACAAGTCTCCCAGTGGTTCCTCACCGGCGCGTCACAATTCCAGCAGTATCCCCACTCTTCATCACTATCACTCCCACTCATCTCCTCTGAGTTTCCTGTCATGCGATGATCATACGCTGCTTCTCTCCTCCTCCCTTTGTCCCTCGGCTCCATCTCATCCATCTCGTAGGACCCCGCTCCGTTCCCTCTGTTCCTCCTCGGCAGCAGCTTCATGTCCCCCATATTTTAGCCCTTCTCCTCAACCTCCGCTCTCCGCTCTCTCCTGCCGCAAGCAGTGCAGCGTTCTCTTCCTCCTGCTCACCCCTTCTCCTCTCCTCTTCTTCTCTCCTCTCTGCCCCTCTCCTCTCCCCCCGCTACTGCCTCGCCGCCATTGCTCTCATTTTACCGCCCACCGTTTTTCTGTCTTTCTAGTCAAGCATCTTCCTACCACCGGGTCTTAGCACTTATATGCCTCAGGTCTTAGCACCAAATTTGTAGTAATTCTACCGCATAGTAAGACCGGACTAGAACCTCCCTGGTAGCTTTCTATCCATTTGCCGTATCTCGGTCCTATGACTCGGTCCTATCCAGCAGGGATATTGGGATCTACATCACCGTATTGACTTACGATATCAGTAGGACCTGGGGTCTTAGAGTGAGCCTAGTCAGCGATCAACATTTCCGCTGTACCCTACCCCTACCCCCATTTGTACTTAATTATTAGTAGGGGCACTTTAGGCTCTTGTTGAGGTCGAATACCACCCCTACCCTTGGAGGTTGACGGCCACCAAGGCGTGTGGAACTTGAAAAGGCGAGTTGCAGGGAGTGGAGGAGAGAGGAGAGAGGAGAGAGGAGAGAGGAGAGAGGAGAGAGGAGAGAGAGGAGAGAGGAGAGAGGAGAGAGGAGAGAGGAGAGAGGAGAGAGGAGAGAGGAGAGAGGAGAGAGGAGAGGGGAGAGAGGAGAGAGGAGAGAGGAGAGAGGAGAGAGGAGAGAGGAGAGCGGAGAGGGGAGAGAGGAGAGAGGAGAGAGGAGAGAGGAGAGAGGAGAGAGGAGAGAGGAGAGAGGAGAGAGGAGAGAGGCGAGAGGAGCCAGGGGACATCGTATGAGCCACTCGAGCGCCGTGGCCCTCGGAAGTTAAGAATCAATCTGATTCTCCCACTTCCCTCGATCCCTACCTATTACTTTTGCTCGTGATTTTTTTTTTCATCTTCTCATCCTCTAACTATGTTTTTTATTGTCTTTTCCCCTTCCTATAATTGAGTTATGCGTTTGTCCTGATTTTTTGTTTCGTGTTGACTCTTATCTCTCTTGTGGTTCTAAATTCCTCGTTTTTGCTCCTCTCCGCTCTTCTTTCTTCTGCTTTTAGCATCTTCAAGTGAGT